CAGCCAGGGGTAGGAGTGGGGGAATGAGGGGCGGTGGGGGGAGTGGGGAGAGGGACAGGAGCGGAGAGGGGAGTGATAAGTCAGGGCTAAGGGTAGAAGGAGCGGCAACATTGATTGTCAGAGCTTGTCAGAGGAGAGGAACAAAAACACGGCAGGCGAGGCTGGTGGCGTACCTGGTCGAAGGAGCAGCCCGTCTGAGCGGCCTCGAGGTTGAAGAGGTACGGCAGGTCGCGCTTGCTGGTGGCGCCCAGGAACTTGGAGGCCGCGGGGCACGGCGAGCGCACCGCGAAGTAGTAGAGGTGCAGGGGCAGCTTGCACGGCGCGCCGTACCCCATGTAGAAGGGCGACGGGTACGCGCACTCGTCGAATGGCGGGAACTGGTAGGCGGAGAGCGCGACGAGCGTCTTGTAGGCGGGGCAGTTGATGTAGATGTCCGTCCACATGTCCGCGTACTGCTCCAACACACCTGCATGACGCGAGGGGAGGAGGGGGACGACGGGTAAGGGGGAAATGGCGGGGGGAAGGGAAGAGAGAGGGTGGGATTGAGTGAGGGAATGGGGACTAGACGGGCACGCGGGGCCGGGCACAGTGAGGTAGAGCGCGCGCGGAACGGAGAGCGCGCGGAGCGGAGCGGAGCGAGGGGTGGTGGGGCTCACTGTCGTAGAGTTTGATCCAGTAGTGCTGGATGATCTGCGCGGGGTCGACGCCCGGGTACACGTTGGCGAGGAACGTCTTGACGCTCGTCTCGTTCATCTGCCACCACTTGCCGAACGACTCGAGCACGTACAGCCGCCCCTCGTCCTTGTTCGTCACCATCATCAGCGGCGCGGGGTTGAGCTGCCCGTTGGACATCATGTCGAGCGGCTGCTGCGGAATGACCTTGCCGTCGATGCACGGGTAGAAGATGCGCCGCTGCTGCCGGTATATGTCCTTCACCACCGGCGTCTTCGCCACTATGTCCTGCCACCGCGCCTGCACACAAGGAGCAGCACGGGGAGGGGAGGGGACGGAATAGCGCGCGATGAGCGGGGAGTGGAGAGTGGCGGGGGCGGGAAGGTGGGGAGCGGGATTGATTGTCGGGTATGAAAGCGCAGAGAATGAGTCCCTGCGACGAAAACGAGCGAATGCGACCGAGTGTCGCAGGGTGTCGCAAGGCTGACCTGTCGCAGGCACTCGAGTTGCGTCTCGGGGTCGAGGGGGCAGTTAAGCGCCTCGGCGAGCGTGTAGGTCGAGTCGTACGCCTGGCCGCAGGGCAACAGGGGAACGCGGAATGGCGGCACATAAGGAGAGAGGTGAGGCATGAACGGGGGCAGGGGTTATGCGTGAGCGAGAGGACGAGCGGGGCGACGAGAGCAGGGCAGCTGACCGAAAAAGGGCGCCCTAAGAACTTGACGACGACTCACCCTGTTCTGCGTGAAGAGCGGGATGGACTCACCCTGTTCTGCGTGAAGAGCGGGATGGACTCACCCTGTTCTGCGTGAAGAGCGGGATGGACTCACCCTGTTCTGCGTGAAGAGCGGGATGGCGGCGCCGTTGGAGGCGACGGCGGAGGTGAAGAGGTCCTTGGAGAGCGGACTCACCATGTGCAGCATCACGCTCACCGCGCCTGTCACCACCGACCAAGCACACACATGGGCACACAAGGGGAGCACCAAGAGGTGAGCCACGAGTAGATGGGGGAGCGCACGCGCACTGGTGACAGCGCTTCCGGGCGGTGCGACATGGATCAGACTCTCGCGGTCGTCGCTGTTTGTCCTCGCCGTATACATTCTGCATTCTAAGCCTCCGATTCCTTCCCTCCGCCCCGCGCCACCTGCGTCATACGCATTCCGTTGCGACCCACGATGTGCAAGCACGAGCTACCCCCGAGCGTTCGTTTCGCACGTGGCTAACCACCAGCCTCTTCCATCCGTCCTGCCCAGTTGCGGTACAAGCCCCCATGCCTGCCGCCCCACCACCCGGCGGCGCGCACCTGCGTTGTGGCCCATGATCTGCACGGACGAGTTGCCGCCGAAGTACCCGATGTACTTCGATATCCACTTGAGCGCCAGCTGCTGGTCCAACAACCCTGGACTCACGCCGCGACATAGGACGGCGAGGGGGGGGGGGAGGGGGAGGGATAAAACAAACACTTCGGAAGGTAAGTCTGATGCGGACGGCTTGACTTGATTGAACGACTAGGACGGAATGGCGAGGGGGGGCACGGCGCGAAGAGCGGTTCATGTAGGCGAGGGGTGGAGCGGGGTGGGGATGAGTGAGGTCCGGGGGAGGCGGAGAAGGGCTCACCCCAGTTGCCAGTGGTTTCGCCTTCGGAGAAGGTGGAGGGGTGCGCGAGGAAGCCGAGCGCGCCGAGCCGGTACTGCACGATGACGAGCGTGGTGTTGGTCTCGGCGACGGACTGGCAGCCGTTGACGAAGTCGTCGGACGCCGACCCCTTGTAGAACCACCCGCCGTGGAACAGCACGCGCACCGCCGTGCTGCTCGCCGTCGCGTTCGCCGGCGTGAAGATGTTCATGTACAGACAGTCCTGCGGTGCACAGCGGTGGGTGACGGGGATGCGATTAAATGAGACAGGGTTGCAGGGTGGCGGGAGGTCACGGAAAGCATGTATTCGGACGCCGAGCAGTTTTCCGTCTGGGCTAGCAGACGGACAACCATTACGGGAGACAAGTATCACTGCGAATTACACCATAGCCACCGAGCCATAAACTGCAAGCACCCACCGATCCCATAATTGTCCTTCAATAGCTCGACTCGCGTAAGAACCATGGGCGCGCTTCTCTAGTCGCATCGCACTGACCTCTCTGATGTTGTCAGTGACCGCGCGGTACGGCTGCGGGCACTTGGCCGGGGGCGTGTCGGCGCGTCTGTAGGGGAACGGGTACTGCTTGTCCCACAGCACGGGCGCCGCGAACCGCAGCTTGCCAGTGGGCGGCAGGGCGTACGGCACGCCGTAGAAGGCGGACACGTTGGTGAAGCCGGGGCAGCCCGTGCCCTGTATGGGTCCGAAGCCCTTGATCCAGATCTGGTTGTTCACCTGCACCGGCCGCGGCGGCGGCTTGCACGCCACGAGCGCTAAGGCGGATAAGAGTAGGCATGCTCCCAGGGTCCATCGTAAACTACTTGCCATGGCTGTCATTCGGAAGCCGCTTACGGCTATCTAATAATTCGTTGTGATACGGTCTAGCTCAATCGGTACTCGCGAGCGAAACTAGGGAGAGAAGCAGGTGAAAGAACACCAGCCTAATTTTCGATCTCCTATGCGTCAAATTCTATCCCCGCGAGTTACAACAGCTAAGTGAATGCAGTCGTCGACGCGTGACTGATGGATGGATCGATGCCACTCGGTGCGTCGCCTTATGCCTTGTGATGCGCTCCAGTACCAAGCAGGGGGAAGCTATGTGAAGCCACCGTGCCAAGGGAACGCGCAAGGGTTGGGAATGGGTGGAGAAAACTCAATATGGCAGGGACTTCAATGCGCGGCTCGGCTGTAATCGAGCGGAGGCGAGGCGAATGTCTGTGTGTCGGGGGGCTCCCTTCCTGCGCAGAGGAGCAGAGCAGCCGAATTGACTGCGACGCGAGTGCCCCGCCAAAGGCGTTCTCGTCAAGGCGCGTCAGCAAGCTGACACGGGGTTTCGTTCGACGCCCCACTCATCCCGTGTGCTTGGGGGAGGATGGAAATTAGTCTCCACCAATAGGGCTCGAGGATGCGTCTGTCACGTCCGCTCTGACCCCGCAGGCGACGCCAGCAGAGGGGAATGCACGACTTGAAGAACGCTCAATTGTAGAACAGAAAGTATGAATGCAGGGCAGGTTCTACACTGAACACCTACTTCATATGTAATCCGTTCCCATCCCCTTGAAGTTTCATCAAGCGATAGCATATAGAATCTGAGGAAAAAAATATTATTGTTGCATTCTTTAATGATTACAGGAACTCCCAACTCTATGGGTAAAATATAAGCTGAAGAGTTGCCGCAAGTAATTGGCACCTTTTTCTCGAGTAGAAACTATTTGAGCTAAGTGTTTTCTTATACAGATTGCGAGGTTGTTCGTAACAGCTGACTGGTGGTGCAATCAACTGGGAAAGCCGTCAGCTTCCCTTCGATTGGCTCAATCGCATCGCCTGTCAGAAAAAAACCCGCTCGAACCGCAATGCAACGGTACATACCTGGAGGTTGGTGGTGCAGGCAGGGTCAACCTTGGAAGTTGCATCACAAGGACCAAGGCTTCGTAGCGGCTTGTTCGGGCATTGCTTTCCCGCCTCTCGAAAGTTGCATTCAGGCCTATCAGGGAAAGCAGAGCCAACAACGACACTCCCAATAACCAAGGCATGAGAGGCAGATAATTTTGCATCCAGCGTCTGATCCCAGGGACTCTCACTCTTTGGTACTATGGGTCCAGCATCTCTCCACATCACGTCCATTCCTGCTCGATTGTACCAGTTTTAAGTTGCGAGCCTGCGATCGACTTACCTCTGGCACGGGTGTGACAATTGAAGTGCTTGAGCGGAACCTCACAAAAGACGACAATAAGTGCGAACTAGTCGAAGCACAGCACTTTAGAAACGCCAACGACGTTCCACTAGAATCCCGGTTGTACAGCTCTACAGTTTATGATCGATTAACGTTCCAAAGGATGACCTCGTTCTAAACCGTTCATATTGTGGCTAATTACTCGGCGAGTGCCAAGATGATGGACAGTAAGCTAGTGAGAGGTTCTCCTTCAGTCCGAGTAAGAAGGCGCCTCCGAGTCCTAGTAGCAGTACCTCCAAGCGGAGAGTCAACTATGCGGGTTCCAAGTTGCCTCTGCCGGGATTCGCATCTCCCGTAGTGCCGGAAGATGAGGCCACGTCATCAGGCACCTCTAACGAATCAGCGAGCCGCCACACAACGGGCACTCCGAATCTCCTGTCAGCGTTTAGGCCGTCTAGGCAGCCGACGAGTCACGCACCGACACCTGCCCCCCCTCTCGGTAGTCAGTCAGGCCTTAAGCCGATAATGGCCCGCTCTTCGAGTCCGAGCCCTAGCAGCCATTCGGTGCGTGGGGGTGCCATGACAGGGCCACGTGTTCATGCGCAGCCCCAGCCGCGACAGGTGTCGTTCGCGCCGTCCACCCAGCAACACCCAATGCTGGTGCCCGAGATGGCGGTGGTGCCCAACCCTCTGGAGAACGAGAACGTTCTAGTCACCGTCCGGTTCCGCCCGCTCAGGTTCGTCGGCAGACTCGCAGCGTAGGGGTAGTCGTACGCGCCTGAGCGGGTCGAACATTGGTAGAATCTCATGGGGGACTGACTGTTGTAAGTGGGTGATGGTGTGGTGGTGGCAGCTTGAGAGAGATTCAACGCGGAGAGGACGTCGGGTGGTACGCCGACGGCGACAAGATCGTGCGCATGGAGTCGAACCCCGCCATCGCCTATGCCTACGGTTAGTGCCTCAAGTAGCTTCAGCACCCACATATCGCACCTTCTCATGCTCAAAGGTGAAAGTCTCAAGACATCACATTTTAGGCATGAGCTAAGACTCCGTAGCTAGTGATTCCCCCCGCCACGACAGCAGGTCTTTCCGCCAGGGCATTTTAACCTCTCGACATAATGCCACTCCGGTTGTCCCACTCACATTCCTCCGTCTCGTCACTCTGACTCGCCTCCTTCTCCCATACCCCTCCCCCACCTTTCTGTGCGTGCAGACAAGGTGTTTGGGCCCGCTACAACGACGCGGGGGGTGTATGACGTCGCAGCGCAGCCCGTCGTAACTTCAGCGATGGAAGGAATCAACGGTAAGAGATAATGCCGGAACCGTGAGCAAACGATGGACGGCTGAGACGGAACCATCAGCACGCCGCAAGACGCCACACAGATCTTTCATCCCCCTTACGATGTGTGTGTGCGTGCGTGTCGTGGCCTTGCTCGTCTGTCATTCTCCCTGCAGGAACGGTCTTCGCGTACGGCGTCACGAGCAGCGGGAAAACGCACAGCATGCACGTGAGTGCAAAGCGCAAAATGCGTGCGAATAGAATCGCAGCATGCGTGTGAGTAGTAAGCGCAGCATGTGTATGCTGAGCAGAACGCAGAGCATGAGTGAAACGCTTTGGATGCATGTGAATGGAACGCACAGCATGCATGCGAATGACTGTGCGTCACTCATAGCTTCTCCTTCTGCCCCCGTCGCACTCACTGTCCGCCCTGTCCTACCCTGTGCTTCCCCTCCGCGTGCGTGCGCTGATGCGCGCAGGGCGACCAGAAGTCCCCGGGTGTCATTCCTCTGGCCGTGAAAGAAGTCTTCAGCATCATCCAGGATGTGAGTGATGAGTATGATTCAGAATATGAATGTCAGCAATATTCAGTAGAAATCAGGACAATTGATGTCCAGCCGCTGTCGTACGCCCTCCCTCCATTTCTCTCATGTCGTCCTCCAAGCCTCGCTGCCGTTCTCTCATTCTCTCCTGTCACCCCTTGTGCCCGTCACTTCGTTGCTGGCGCCCCCCCCCAGACGCCTGGTCGCGAGTTTCTGCTGCGGGTGTCGTACCTCGAGATCTACAACGAGGTATTGAACACGCTGCCTTGCACGCACGCACCCGCCGCCACCCATGCATGTATCCAATGCCATGCAGACATGTAGGCCATCTGCCGCCACGCGTGCTGCATGCATCTGCCATCGCGTATGCATCCGCCGCCACGCATACATGTTTGGCACTCCACGGATTGAATCCTCGTATCATACATTGACACATAAGCCTGTCCGCCCTTCCCCCGCGCCTGTTGCGCGCCCACCCTCGCATGGCTCTCATCCGCCCTCCCCGCGCGCCCCGCACGGCAGGTGATCAACGACCTGCTCAACCCCGCCGGGCAGAACTTGCGCATCCGCGAAGATGGTCAGGTGCGGGATACTGGGGGAAAAGGGGTTAGGAAGGGGGAGGAGCAGATGGGGAAATAGGGCGAGCACAAGGGGGAAACGAAGAGAGCTACCGAATAGAAGAAGGGGGAGAGGGGAAACGGAGGAGGTGGAGGTAAGAGGGGAATGAAGTGGAGGCTAACTAAGATGCGCCTCGTTTCCCCGCAGCTGCGTGCTTTCCACCCTTCCTCTGTCCTCCCCTAACATCCCCTGCCCTGCCTCGTCCTTCTGTTCCCCACCTTGCTGTGCTGCCCTGCCACCCCCTGCCGTGCCCCGTGTGCAGCACGGCACGTTTGTGGAGAACGTGAAGGAGGAGGTGGTGCTCTCAGCCGCGCACGCCCTCTCCCTCATCGCCGCTGGCGAAGGCAAGCCCCTCCTCCCCCCCTTCCTCACCATGCCCGTCCCCTTCCCTTTGCGCGCCCTCGCACTGCACCACTTTGTTCAATCAAGCTTGTGCCGCTAGTCGTGCGATTGAGACTAATTCACTGCATCCTGTTCGTACCTCCGTTGTGTCTGTGCTTGCATTTAACCTCCTGTGTGTTCACTCGTGTGCGTACAGAGCACCGGCATGTGGGCGCCACGCACTTCAACACGGCCAGCAGTCGCAGCCACACCATCTTCACTCTCGTAAGCCCCTCCCCGCTCCCCAAACCCCACACCGCACTTTCCATCCACCCCGCTCCCCTTCTCTCCATTCCCCCTCCCCCCCTCGTCCCCCCACCTCTTGCTCCCCCTCATCCTCTTCCCAACTCCTGTTTTCTTTTGGCGCTTGTCGCACCTTATGCCCCAAGTGCGGGCTGCTTCATTTCCTCGTACCCTCTACAAGCATGCTCGCTGCCAATCGCCTTCCGTCCCATCATTCCCCGATTCTCCCTCCCATGCCTGCTTGTATGACAGACCGTGGAGAGCAGCGGGCGGGACTTGGATGGATACGAGGAGGTCACCTACTCGCAGCTGGTGCGCCGCCCTCCCTCCTCGCCTTCCTTCCCTTCCCTCCGCTCGTTTCTCCCCGCCTTGGGAGCCTGTATGCTGACCTGGACGCGAGTGTGCTGCACCTTGTTGCGGCATGCTTGCTGCCCTATTCCTTCCCAGTACCCCTCCCACCGTCCACCTCGCTCACCCTCGGCTCTGGCTTCTCCTTTTATTTTATTTGTGTGTGTGTGTGCATGCGTGTCTGTGCGTGCGTGCTGGCAGAACCTGATCGACCAGGCGGGGTCGGAGAACAGCCGAGCCACGACGGGCAACAACGTGCGGCGCAGGGAGGGCACGTTCATCAACAAGAGCCTGCTCACGCTCGGCACGGTCAGTCGCCCCTCACGCTCGCCACGGTCAGTCGCCCCTCACGCTCGGCACGGTCAGTTAGGCCCGCCATGGTCGCCTGCATGCCACACGCACGTCGTGTTGTCCTCACTCCTCTCACGCAGAGGGAACGTTCATCAACAAGAGCCTGCTCACACTCGGCACGGTCAGTCTCGCTCAGCACCGTCGCCTGCATGCCACGCGCACACACATTCACACCTTCACCTGCCGTGGCACTGTGTTGAGTTGCTGTTCTGTGGTGCTGTACTGGTATGTGGTGGTGTGGAGCAGGTGATATCGAAGCTGAGTGAGCGCAAGCAGTCGCACGTGCCGTACAGGGACTCCAAGCTCACGCGCCTGCTGCAGACGTCACTGAGTGGCAACGCGCGCATCTCGCTCATCTGCACCGTCACCCCCGCCTCGGGCACGCTGGAGGAGACGCACAACACGCTCAAGTTCGCCTCGCGCGCCAAACACGTTGAGATCCGCGCCAACGCCAACAAGGTCAGCACCATGACATGCCATGCATGCACGCATGGGCCCCGCTGCTGTTCCGTGCTCATTTCGTCGCTGGCCTCACGAGCTGCAACCTCTGCAGTTCAACTTCCAAGGACCTCCTTGGAAGTATAAGTCCCTCTGTCGTTGTGTCAAAAAGTTGTCCTGTCCCACTCATGCGTGTGTCCCCTCCACACTCCCTCCTCTGTGCGGTGGCATCAGATCCTGGACGAGAAGTCGCTGATAAAGAAGTATCAGAGGGAGATCATGGCGCTCAAGGACGAGCTCACGCGCCTCAGGCACGACATGTCGCACGCCCCCCCCGCGCTGCCCTGGGGGGCCGCCCCCGGCATCGGCAACATTGGCGGCGGCGGGGGAGGCGACATGGGCGGGCAGGACCTTGCAGTGCTGCGGGAGAAGGTGAGCTGGTGGCGGCAGCTGCCTCTGTGTGCCCCCCTGCTGCTCACTGCTATTGCACCAATGTGCACTTTCTCGTGTACTGTGTGGGATACAGTTTCCTCCTTACCTTGCCTCTCCTTAACTCCTCTCCGCCCTCGCAATGCTTTGCCCTTCCCTTTCCCCGCATCCTCTCCCACCCCCCCCACTTCGAGCAGTTGGAGGCGGATCAGATGCTGCTGCAGTCGCGGTTGGAGGAGGAGGAGGAGGCGAAGGCGGCGCTGATGACGCGCATACAGCGCCTCACCAAGCTCATCCTCGTGTCCTCCAAGGCCTCCTCCGCCTCCAAGCCCGCCCGCCCCCCGCACGCCCCTCCCACCGGCCGCCTGCGCCGCCGCCTCTCCTTCGGCGAGGAGGACGTAAGATGCATTGAATACCTTGAGGATACCTTGCTAATACATTTCTGATTCTGGTTAGACTGCTTCCAAGGCACCGCAAGCATGCCTCCCTTCCAACTCTCATGCTTCCCTAGCGAATTCTATGCCCTTCTTGCAAATCTCATAGCTCTCTTCCGCCTCACATGCCTCCTTGATGTGTCTCTAATGCGCTCCTCCCGTCCCTCCGCATCCCTCTTCTTCCCAACTTTCCCAATCCCTCTGCACGCGTGGCATCGTCTCCTCATGCCAGCTGGCGTACCTGAAGCAGCGGCGCATGGACCTGGGCTTTGACCTGCTGGACGACGCCATGGGCGCGGGGGGAGGCGCGGGGGACGACCTGCAGCTGCAGCGCCTGGGGGGCACGGTGGGCGCAGCAGGGTCGCGCTCTGTGAGCATGTACAGCGGCGGCAGTGGCAGTGGCGCTGCCTCGCCCAGAGGGACGGGCGCAGGTGGAGATGGGGGAGCGGGAGGGGACGACGATGGGGGCCCCATGATCCTCAAATGGCTGCGCTCCAAGGTGCGTCCCAGGGGGTGAAGGGGGAAAGGGGGGAAGTGGGGGGGATGGTGGTGAGTTGAGGGAGGAATGATCTTGAGCTTGTGGGATCGTTACGGCTGGTGAGAGGGAAGGCAGAGAGTCTCGCCACCCTCCTCTCCCACCTCATCTACCCTCCCCCACTTCCCTCGGCTTGCCCTTGTGCGCAACAGAAGGACGGGGCGGGCAGCAAGGACGGAGACGGCGAGGGGGGCCTGCACGCGTCGCTGTCAGGCAGTGAGAACGTGGACCCCATCCTCACTGCCCGTGGCACAGAAGGCGGCATGGAGGCAGGCAGAGCAGGCAGTGACAGCGGGCAGTGGCTCACGAGGGTCAGCAGCGGCACGGACAGCTCGGAGGAGCACGCAGGGGGGGCGGCGGCGGGGGCGGGGGCGCCCAGGATGATGCGCGCAGTGCGCCGCACGGCATCGCTGCTTAGTGTGGATGAGGCGGGCGCGGGGGGAGGGATGGGCATGGGCATGGGCATGGGCGTGGGAGGGGGGGGGCGGTGTGTGGAGACGGTGAGGGCGTCGACTCAGGCAGGGGAGCTGTTTCACATCACAGGCGTGCGAATCCCATCGGTGAGAGCGCATGGATGATTTGTATTCTTGGATGCTGCTATCAAGACCCTTTTTTCCTTGGCATGTCCCCTTCATTCTCTTCGCCCTCCCACGCACCTCTCTCACCCTGCCCCCTTTCTCTCTCCCCGCTTGCTCCCTGCCTCCTTTCTCTCCCCGCCCTTGGTCTCCCTGCGTGTGTGGCACGAGCAGAGTGGCACCACGCTCATGGACCAGTGCGAGCTGCTGAGGGAGCAGGTCAGTGGGCCGTCCTCCACATTACCTTCCAAATTCAATGGCAGCGCAGCATGATTTCATTTACCATTCTAACACGACACTTGGGACTAAGAGTTCATTCCCACGCTCCCCTCATCTGCTTTCCCTTCCTTTCCTCGACTCCATTTCCCTTTCCTCCCGTCCCTCCCCGCATCTTCTTCTCGCCCACCCGCCCCTTCCCCCCGCCCGGCAGGTGAAGATTCTGTCGGCGGAGGTGGGATTCCACACGTCCAACCTGAGGCGCCTCATAGACAAGGGCGAGAACACACCGCAGGAGCAGCAGGAGATCGAGGTCAGTCCGCTGCCTTGCAGGGAGCAGGCTGGAGAGGCGTGGGAGGGGGGGGCAGTGGAGAGCAAGAAGGGCCCCAAGATTCTAGACCTTTGCTCCTGTCTTACCAGGTTTTGACGTCAAGGTACCGACTCTCAGCATCTCCGCCCTCAATATTTGTCCAGAGGGGCAGTGGGGAGCTAATAGGGCTCTAGGTTCTAAGTTTCTAGATCTTGGCCCTTTTCTGACCAGGCTGTGACGTGAAGACGTTGTCTCCCAGCCGCTCCGCCCTCAGACTCTGTCCCGTGTCCGCTGCTTGTCCCTGCGTGCATCTTCCCTGTATGCATGTGCCCGGGTCCCCACAGCGGCTGCGAGTGGAGCTAGCGGGCAAGCAGCAGCAGCTGCGCGAGATGGAGGAGTTCATGCGGCGCAGGCAGGGCGACCAGCCGTCCCCTGCTGCCAGCGCCGCGGGGGGCAGTGATGGCCTGGGCGTGGGCGCAGAGGTAGACACGGCCACACAGGAACAGATGGCCAAGGTGGGACCAAGGGACATAGTAGTCATTTCTTACATCCCTGCTCCATGCCCCATGCCTCAATATCCATTCTGTATGCCCCATGCCCCATGCCTCCTCTGACACATCTTCCCACGCGCTCCTCCCTGCCTATGCGTAATTCCCAACGTCGAGGTCTGTTGTCCCTTGTTCCGCGAACCATTACAAATGCCCCTCGTCCCAAACCTCCCATCTCCTACTCCCCATGGCATATGCGCTGTGCCTACGTTCCTTCCTCCGCCACCGATATCCCACATGCTGCAGACAATAGCGAAGCTCAAGGCCGTGCTGAGCGAGAAGACGTTTGACATGGAGGTGAGCGAGAAGACGTTTGACATGGAGGTGAGCGAGAAGACGTTTGACATGGAGGTGAGCGAGAAGACGTTTGACATGGAGGTGAGCGAGAAGACGTTTGACATGGAGGTGAGGGAGAAGACGTTTGACATGGAGGTGAGCGAGAAGACGTTTGACATGGAGGTGAGCGAGAAGACGTTTGACATGGAGGTGAGCGAGAAGACGTTTGACATGGAGGTGAGCGAGAAGACGTTTGACATGGAGGTGAGGGAGACGCACATGAAATGTGGATTCCAAGTGGAAGCAAGTGGGCGGGTGGGCTTGAGAGTGCTCAGAAATGGACATTCTGTTTGTGCTCTCCGCACTGGCCTGCTTGCGTGTGGTTATTCCCCTCATGTCCTTCGTGACCTTACCACCTCCCGCTCTCTGCGCTTGTCCCCCGCTGCTGGTGGCCGTGTCAGATCGTGAGTGCAGACAACCGCATTCTGCAGGACTCGCTCAAGGCCAAGGTGAGCGCCACCAGCGCCACTGCCCCCACTCAACCTGCTCAATGTGCTCTTCCCGGAAGCAGCTTGCACCATGCTTCTCGTCCCTTCCCTACCTGCACAGTCTGCCTCTCCCCCACCTCACACCCCCAACCACTCCTCACCCGCTCGCACTCGTCCCCCCTCTCTCGCCCTTTCCCCTCCGCGTGCGTGAGCAGACGAGGCAGGTGCAGCAGCTGATGGAGGAGGCGAACATGCTGCGCGTGGAGCTCACCCGCGCCATCACCTCTCGCCACAACGCTGCCAGGGGGCAGGCGGACGGGAACGGCGAGGCCGAAGGGCACACGGACGCAGCAGGGCAAGGGGAGGGCGAGAATGGCACGGGGTCAGGGGCAGGGTCAGGGGGCGGTGAGGGGGGAGGGGGTGGCGGTGAGGGCATGGTGGTGGTGGGGGCGGGGGAGCTGGAGGAGCTGAGGTCGCAGGTGAGGCTGGCTCGGCAGGAGGCGGACATGCTGCGGCAGCAGCAGCACCAGCTCACCAAGGACCTCGCAGGGGCGCGCTCCCTCGCCCTCACCGCCTCCTGCACTGCTCCTGCTGCCAGTGCTGGCGCTGCTGGTGGTGGTGGTGGTGCCGATGGGTCAGGTGCTGCGGCCGGGACGTCGTCCCTGGCGTCGTTTTTAGACGGGGCGTATATGAATGGGCCAGATGGGCGGCCGGATGTGAGTGGGTTGCTGCAGCAGGTGGAGGCGGCGAGGGCGAGGGAGGCGCAGTGGCAGGAGCAGCGGCAGCAGCACCAGCTCGTGGAGGCTGAGCTGGCAGCTGCCCGTGCTGAGCTGGCAGCGTACCGAACTGCTGCTGCTGCAGAGGCAGGAGGAGTGGAGAGTGGGGAGGCCGGAGATGGTGGGGAGGTCGGAGAGAGCGCAGGAGATGGCGGAGGAGAGGGCATGAGGAAGCAGGGGGCGGTGGGAGCGGTGGCGGCAGTGGCAGCGCGGCTGGAAGCAGAGAAGGATGCAATGCTGGCGGTGCGGGAGAGGGAGGTGGGCGAGTTACAGCAGAGCCTGGCGGCAGCACAGCAGAGGGAGGCGGCTCTAGAGAGGGATCTGAGCACCATGTGGGTGCTCGTCGCTGAGCTCAGACACATGGGCGGGGGCAGTCGCTCCTCGTCTGTCAAGAGTGAGGGCAGTGGCAGGGAGGGCGGTGGGGGGGCGGCAGCGCGAGGGGGGTTGCTGGATGCGGAGGAGATGGCGGAGCTGGCGGGCAGCATTGGGGGCAGCGGGCGGTGGCTGGGGGAGCTGCGGAAAGGGGAGAGCATGCGCAGCGAGGGGGTGGGCAGTGAGGGGGGCAGTGAGGGCAGGGTGAGCTTGTCGGAGCAGGCCATGGAGCTGATCAGGGCGGGGTCGGCGGGCGGGTTGGGGGTGCGTGGAGGGGAGGGGGCGAGTGGGGAGGGGGAGGTGCGAGTGCAGATGGCGGTGGAGCGAGAGACGTGTGTGCTCAAGGAGGAACTCGCCCGTAGAAAGGTAGGAAGCACGGGGTGGCAGTGTGGGATTGATCACTTTCCGCAATGGCTCTCTCCTGCCCCGTCACCCAACCACTTTTCCAGCTTTGTAGAACTAGAGACAGATCACCTGCCAGCTCCTCCTTCCTCTCGCTCCTGCTTCCTCTCGCTCCTCCTTCCTCTCGCTCCTGCTTCCTCTCTCACTCGGTGCCACACATCATCCCCTCCCACCGCCCCTTGTGTTACAGGGCGAGCAGCTGGCGGGGTTGAAGTTGAGGGAGCTGATGGCTCTGGAGGCGGACATGGAAACAGCTCTCACCAAGCTCGAGGTCGCTAAGGTGCTCTCCCGCCCCTCCCCCGTTCCTGCTCCGCCCTCCCTGCTCCTCCCTTCCTGTTCCTGTCTCCCCGGCGGGCGGGTTGGGGGTGCGTGGAGGGGAGGGGGCGAGTGGGGAGGGGGAGGTGCGAGTGCAGATGGCGGTGGAGCGAGAGACGTGTGTGCTCAAGGAGGAACTCGCCCGTAGAAAGGTAGGAAGCACGGGGTGGCAGTGTGGGATTGATCACTTTCCGCAATGGCTCTCTCCTGCCCCGTCACCCAACCACTTTTCCAGCTTTGTAGAACTAGAGACAGATCACCTGCCAGCTCCTCCTTCCTCTCGCTCCTGCTTCCTCTCGCTCCTCCTTCCTCTCGCTCCTGCTTCCTCTCTCACTCGGTGCCACACATCATCCCCTCCCACCGCCCCTTGTGTTACAGGGCGAGCAGCTGGCGGGGTTGACGTTGAGGGAGCTGATGGCTCTGGAGGCGGACATGGAAACAGCTCTCACCAAGCTCGAGGTCGCTAAGGTGCTCTCCCGCCCCTCCCCCGTTCCTGCTCCGCCCTCCCTGCTCCTCCCTTCCTGTTCCTGTCTCCCCTCCCCTGCCGCCCGTCTTGCTCCTTCCAACCTGATCCTTTTACCCGCTTCACTAGAGTTCATCCCTCACCTCCTCTCAATATGATCCTCACAGGCATACATACGCAAGGCACACAGAATGAGGCAGCTGGTGTGAGCTCACAGATGACAGGGAGTGAAGCTTCCTGAAGAAAGGCGTTTGGACCATACCGTCGTCACTCAGCTCCTTCAGATCTTCCCCCTCCTGCCATGCCACGCTGCTAATCCTCCACCATGTTTTGCCAGCTGCCACTAAAATCATGGCTGCTTCACTGCCTCACCTTCCCTTATCCTGTGCTGTACGCTCTTCCCCTCCCCGCCCCATCCCCTCCACGCTCCTCCCCTCTGCTCCCCTGCATGTGGCATGGCGATGCAACGATGCAACAACAACTCCATGCGTGGACCGTGTGGCTTGAACGGCGTCGTGACAACGGTGTGGAGCGCAGATGCGAGTGCGGGCAGAGGGCAGCAGCACGAGCGGCTCAGAGATAGACCCGGTAGAGGACTGCCTCCATCACCTCCTCCCTCTCCATCACCATCATCATCATCCCCATCATCCGCATCATCATCTCGATGATGCTGATGATGGCGATGACGATGGCATGGAAATGGACTCCGGGGGGGATTATTTTTGCAAGAATTGTTTCGACGCCCCCATCTCCACGCAGACCCTGCCGTGCCACCACTCGTGCTGTACGCCTCGTTGCACCCTGCAACCATGCGTGCCCCGCTTTCTCTCGCCCTCTCTCCCATTCATCTCTCTCACTCCCACTCACAGCTACATTCTCCATCCCTGATGCTCGCCCTCTCCCTTTCCCCATGCCTTTCCTTAAGCACATGTGCTGCACACGTCACGTGTGTACCTGAACCACTGCGATCGCATCTTTCACTGCTCTCACTCTCTGCAACCTCTGAATTGCAATCACTGCCGCTGCCTTTTTTTGCCTTGTGTGCTCCATCAGCGTGCCCTGAAATTCTTGTTCCTAGCACTCTTCTTCCACCCGCTCGTAGTCTGCTATTGTAACACAAACATCCCTCTGCATGATGCCAATCATACCGGTACTTGCTGCTCCCCCTGCCCCCTTACCCTCACCCCTTCACCCCCCGTGCATCCACAACAGACTGCGAGGAATGCGCCAGAGATGCTGACCTGTGCGCCACGTGCCTAGCGCCCGCTGCTGGCTTCCAGCCCGTGCGGTGACAGGCGACGCACGTGGTGCCACCCATTTGACTCCTGACACACGTGCTTGCGTGCACCGCTGGGTATGCAGCAGATGTGGCGAGCACAGCAAGGTCTACTAAGATCGAATGCATGAAGTATGGTAGCTCATAACATATGAAGCACTAGAGAGAAGCTGCAACTAGGCGAACTGGCTTGTTTGTGTTGTGCAATACGTAGCCCGATATATTTATTCAAAAACTTTTGTGTCAGGGCTAGTGTGGTGGGTAGAAACTTTGCTCAAGGCAAACCAAATCATAAGATCTGGTTGCATAAAGCCTTCACCTGCTGCCCATGATTGCTCCAACTCCTATCTAAAAGCTAGCTTGCTGGAGGAGCACAGCCCTACTCCGAAGCTGGCTGGCGGTGTCTGTCCCCGTCCTTGCAGCAGTACTGGTGCTGCAGCTTCACACACCCGCAACTCCTGAGTCATGCCATTGGGGAGGACGCAATGGGTTGGCATGAGGGGGTGTGGCATGGCGTGGCATGGTTGCAGGCACGGCAGTGCAAAGGGACGACTGCCAAGCATGGAAAGAGGTGAATAGCTGCTTCACTCACAGGCATCTGACCACCACCGGTACAGCCTTGAGCGCCTTGGGCCCATTTCTGATGCCTTTCCGCGATGGCGTCACCTGCACGTGATGGCGTGAGAGGCACACGGAGGCACGGTCGGACGTCGCAAGGTGACTGCTTGCAACCACGAGTCAGAGGAAACTGCTGCGTACCTTCCTCTTGGGAACCGCCATAACCGCAAATCGATTCGCATCATCTGGCGTCAATCGTGAATGGGTCGGGGCTAAAACGGAAGGGCCGGAAGCGACGGGGACGGCAGGGTGAATCAACGGCTCAGCTGCGCTTCCATGCTGCTCGAGATCGTAGGGGGTGCACGGAAGGGTTGGCTGATCGGATCGCGACGACGCGGCGCAATTTGGCGCATGCGGGAGACCGTGCTGGGAGGGGAACGGATGGGCGGAGGGGATGGAGGTGGAAAACGCGCGGTAGACTGCGCCGAGACACGCGCGCAGGTCGCCTGGCGAGGTAAGGCGGCGAGTGAGTGCCATGGCTGTGCTGCCGTGCTGTGCGGAAAGAAAGGGGAAAAGGGGAAGTGTGTCCCGTTATTGGTAAGCTCGAATCTATGCAAAAACCTTATTTCAGGTCTCGCCCTACACTACCAGTTTGCAACTGAAGTTTAGCGATTGCTTTGGTTGGATGAACGGGGAGTGACGTGGAAAGCAGGACAAGCGATCGTGGTCGTCAGCCAATGATATTGCAGACAAGCCTAAGGCCAAAGGGCAACTGATGCGTTGGCAGTCATTCACAGGACATAGCCTGGACGCCCTACATTCAACGAACCTCAACCACTCGCTGCTGCTTGTTCTCGAAGTCATTCGGGCAACGAGAATTTTTGTGCAGGGCAGTTTTTTTGTTTGAATGGACCTACAGTACACCAACAAATCGTTGTCATGCGGCGTTGAGCTATTACGAAAAGATGGTGAAATCAAATGGTGGGCAGGCTCATGTGGTGGCGGCCACTTTCTCTCATCTCCACTTGCCCATTTCGAGCCGAGCCGTGCAAACCGCCAGAGGAGAGAAAGGTCATTCCACCTCACGGCACTGCATGCTGCTGCATCTGCAATGCCTCCCTCGTCACTTTTCATTCTCCCATCTGGCACCGAGACTCTTCTGTCGCCGCAAATACGCGTCCAAGTTCACGCACTAACGTTATGAGCCTTCCTGACCGCGTCAGTCGCGCAATCAGCGCGTAGGGCGGCGTAGAGGCGCTCTCCAATTCACCCCTGCGCTACCCTTAGCCACGCAAATCCCACTCGCGTGTTCCGAACGGCGCGAGAGCCGCGGGAGCCATGGGTGCGGCGAGTTACGTGCCGGGCGGGGAGGTGGCGCTGCTGTTCATGGCCGTGTCGCTGGCGCTCGGCGCGCTGTGCCGGCAGATCTTCAATAACACGCGCGTGCCGTACACCGTCGCGCTGCTGCTCGTCGGCATCGCGCTCGGCGCGTTTGGTGAGCGTCGCGCGTAGGCTCGTTGGCGCGAGGGGCACGCCAGCAGGCTAGTCAGAGAGCGCACTAGTACCGGCCACTGACCGCTCGGCCGATAGGGCCCCGTCGACGCTGGGTGCTGCGCGCCTGGCGCGACCTTCCCCTTGTGCGCAGCAGCAGCAGCGGCCGCGTTGTCGCTTGGCTATCAATGGCGGCCGTGGATCGCTGCGGCGCACTTTTTTAGCCGGCCGTAGCACGAGGCCTAATTTCTCCTCTTCTCCCCCCCATATTCGCTCGCACTCACGCTGTGGACTTGTCTCTGGGCCTACCGCCGTCTCTCTCCCCTCTTCCCCCCTTTCCCCCTCCCCCACGCCAATCCCCCCACGCGCAGAGTTCTACGTGGACCTGGGGCTGCTCGGCGACAGCATCCGCATGTGTACGTTCCGCCCCCCCGCGCACCCTCACTCGCCACGCGCACCCTCACTCGCCACGCGCACCCTCACTCGCCACGCGCACCCTCACTCGCCACGCGCACCCTCACTCGCCACGCGCACCCTCACTCGCCACGCGCACCCTCACTCGCCACGCGCACCCTCACTCGCCACGCGCACCCTCACTCGCCACGCGCACCCTCACTCGCCACGCGCACCCTCACTCGCCACGCGCACCCTCACTCGCCACGCGCACCCTCACTCGCCACGCGCTCCCTCACTCGCCACGCGCACCCTCACTCGCCACGCGCACCCTCACTCGCCACGCGCACCCTCACTCGCCACGCGCACCCTCACTCGCCACGCGCACCCTCACTCGCCACGCGCACCCTCACTCGCCACGCGCACCCTCACTCGCCACGCGCACCCTCACTCGCCACGCGCACCCTCACTCGCCACGCGCACCCTCACTCGCCACGCGCTCCCTCACTCGCCACGCGCACCCTCACTCGCCACGCGCTCCCTCACTCGCCACGCGCACCCTCACTCGCCACGCGCACCCTCACTCGCCACGCGCACCCTCACTCGCCACGCGCACCCTCACTCGCCACGCGCACCCTCACTCGCCACGCGCACCCTCACTCGCCACGCGCACCCTCACTCGCCACGCGCACCCTCACTCGCCACGCGCACCCTCACTCGCCACGCGCTCCCTCACTCGCCACGCGCTCCCTCACTCGCCATGCGCTCCCTCACTCGCCACGCGCACCCTCACTCGCCACGCGCACCCTCACTCGCCACGCGCACCCTCACTCGCCACGCGCACCCTCACTCGCCACGCGCACCCTCACTCGCCACGCGCTCCCTCACTCGCCACGCGCACCCTCACTCGCCACGCGCACCCTCACTCGCCACGCGCACCCTCACTCGCCACGCGCACCCTCACTCGCCACGCGCACCCTCACTCGCCACGCGCACCCTCACTCGCCACGCGCACCCTCACTCGCCACGCGCACCCTCACTCGCCACGCGCACCCTCACTCGCCACGCGCACCCTCACTCGCCACGCGCACCCTCACTCGCCACGCGCACCCTCACTCGCCACGCGCACCCTCACTCGCCACGCGCACCCTCACTCGCCACGCGCACCCTCACTCGCCACGCGCACCCTCACTCGCCACGCGCACCCTCACTCGCCACGCGCACCCTCACTCGCCACGCGCACCCTCACTCGCCACGCGCACCCTCACTCGCCACGCGCACCCTCACTCGCCACGCGCACCCTCACTCGCCACGCGCACCCTCACTCGCCACGCGCTCCCTCACTCGCCACGCGCACCCTCACTCGCCACGCGCACCCTCACTCGCCACGCGCACCCTCACTCGCCACGCGCACCCTCACTCGCCACGCGCACCCTCACTCGCCACGCGCACCCTCACTCGCCACGCGCACCCTCACTCGCCACGCGCACCCTCACTCGCCACGCGCACCCTCACTCGCCACGCGCACCCTCACTCGCCACGCGCACCCTCACTCGCCACGCGCACCCTCACTCGCCACGCGCACCCTCACTCGCCACGCGCACCCTCACTCGCCACGCGCACCCTCACTCGCCACGCGCTCCCTCACTCGCCACGCGCTCCCTCACTCGCCACGCGCTCCCTCACTCGCCACGCGCTCCCTCACTCGCCACGCGCTCCCTCACTCGCCCCACGCGCCCTCACTCGCCACGCGCTCCCTCACTCGCCCCACGCGCCCTCACTCGCCACGCGCTCCCTCACTCGCCACGCGCACCCTCACTCGCCACGCGCACCCTCACTCGCCACGCGCACCCTCACTCGCCACGCGCACCCTCACTCGCCACGCGCTCCCTCACTCGCCACGCGCACCCTCACTCGCCACGCGCACCCTCACTCGCCACGCGCACCCTCACTCGCCACGCGCTCCCTCACTCGCCACGCGCACCCTCACTCGCCACGCGCTCCCTCACTCGCCACGCGCTCCCTCACTCGCCACGCGCACCCTCACTCGCCACGCGCACCCTCACTCGCCACGCGCACCCTCACTCGCCACGCGCACCCTCACTCGCCACGCGCACCCTCACTCGCCACGCGCACCCTCACTCGCCACGCGCACCCTCACTCGCCACGCGCACCCTCACTCGCCACGCGCACCCTCACTCGCCACGCGCACCCTCACTCGCCACGCGCACCCTCACTCGCCACGCGCACCCTCACTCGCCACGCGCACCCTCACTCGCCACGCGCACCCTCACTCGCCACGCGCTCCCTCACTCGCCACGCGCTCCCTCACTCGCCAGGCGCTCCCTCACTCGCCACGCGCTCCCTCACTCGCCACGCGCTCCCTCACTCGCCACGCGCTCCCTCACTCGCCACGCGCTCCCTCACTCGCCCCACGCGCCCTCACTCGCCACGCGCTCCCTCACTCGCCCCACGCGCCCTCACTCGCCACGCGCTCCCTCACTCGCCCCACGCGCACCCTCACTCGCCACGCGCACCCTCACTCGCCACGCGCTCCCTCACTCGCCACGCGCTCCCTCACTCGCCACGCGCTCCCTCACTCGCCACGCGCTCCCTCACTCGCCACGCGCACCCTCACTCGCCACGCGCACCCTCACTCGCCACGCGCACCCTCACTCGCCACACGCGCCCTCACTCGCCACGCGCTCCCTCACTCGCCCCACGCGCACCCTCACTCGCCACGCGCTCCCTCACTCGCCACGCGCTCCCTCACTCGCCACGCGCTCCCTCACTCGCCACGCGCTCCCTCACTCGCCACGCGCTCCCTCACTCGCCACGCGCTCCCTCACTCGCCACGCGCTCCCTCACTCGCCACGCGCTCCCTCACTCGCCCCACGCGCACCCTCACTCGCCACGCGCACCCTCACTCGCCACGCGCACCCTCACTCGCCACGCGCACCCTCACTCGCCACGCGCACCCTCACTCGCCACGCGCTCCCTCACTCGCCACGCGCACCCTCACTCGCCACGCGCTCCCTCACTCGCCACGCGCACCCTCACTCGCCACGCGCACCCTCACTCGCCACGCGCACCCTCACTCGCCACGCGCACCCTCACTCGCCACGCGCACCCTCACTCGCCACGCGCACCCTCACTCGCCACGCGCACCCTCACTCGCCACGCGCACCCTCACTCGCCACGCGCACCCTCACTCGCCACGCGCACCCTCACTCGCCACGCGCACCCTCACTCGCCACGCGCACCCTCACTCGCCACGCGCACCCTCACTCGCCACGCGCACCCTCACTCGCCACGCGCACCCTCACTCGCCACGCGCACCCTCACTCGCCACGCGCACCCTCACTCGCCACGCGCACCCTCACTCGCCACGCGCACCCTCACTCGCCACGCGCACCCTCACTCGCCACGCGCACCCTCACTCGCCACGCGCACCCTCACTCGCCACGCGCACCCTCACTCGCCACGCGCACCCTCACTCGCCACGCGCACCCTCACTCGCCACGCGCACCTCACTCGCCACGCGCACCCTCACTCGCCACGCGCACCCTCACTCGCCACGCGCTCCCTCACTCGCCACGCGCACCCTCACTCGCCACGCGCTCCCTCACTCGCCACGCGCACCCTCACTCGCCACGCGCACCCTCACTCGCCACGCGCACCCTCACTCGCCACGCGCACCCTCACTCGCCACGCGCACCCTCACTCGCCACGCGCACCCTCACTCGCCACGCGCACCCTCACTCGCCACGCGCACCCTCACTCGCCACGCGCACCCTCACTCGCCACGCGCACCCTCACTCGCCACGCGCACCCTCACTCGCCACGCGCACCCTCACTCGCCACGCGCACCCTCACTCGCCACGCGCACCCTCACTCGCCACGCGCTCCCTCACTCGCCACGCGCTCCCTCACTCGCCAGGCGCTCCCTCACTCGCCACGCGCTCCCTCACTCGCCACGCGCTCCCTCACTCGCCACGCGCTCCCTCACTCGCCACGCGCGCCCTCACTCGCCACGCGCTCCCTCACTCGCCCCACGCGCCCTCACTCGCCACGCGCTCCCTCACTCGCCCCACGCGCACCCTCACTCGCCACGCGCTCCCTCACTCGCCACGCGCTCCCTCACTCGCCACGCGCTCCCTCACTCGCCACGCGCTCCCTCACTCGCCACGCGCTCCCTCACTCGCCACGCGCACCCTCACTCGCCACGCGCTCCCTCACTCGCCACGCGCTCCCTCACTCGCCACGCGCTCCCTCACTCGCCACGCGCTCCCTCACTCGCCACGCGCTCCCTCACTCGCCCCACGCGCCCTCACTCGCCACGCGCTCCCTCACTCGCCCCACGCGCCCTCACTCGCCACGCGCTCCCTCACTCGCCCCACGCGCACCCTCACTCGCCACGCGCTCCCTCACTCGCCACGCGCTCCCTCACTCGCCACGCGCTCCCTCACTCGCCACGCGCTCCCTCACTCGCCACGCGCTCCCTCAATCGCCACGCGCTCCCTCACTCGCCACGCGCACCCTCACTCGCCACGCGCACCCTCACTCGCCACGCGCACCCTCACTCGCCACGCGCTCCCTCACTCGCCCCACGCGCCCTCACTCGCCACGCGCTCCCTCACTCGCCCCACGCGCACCCTCACTCGCCACGCGCTCCCTCACTCGCCACGCGCACCCTCACTCGCCACGCGCACCCTCACTCGCCACGCGCACCCTCACTCGCCACGCGCACCCTCACTCGCCACGCGCACCCTCACTCGCCACGCGCACCCTCACTCGCCACGCGCACCCTCACTCGCCACGCGCACCCTCACTCGCCACGCGCACCCTCACTCGCCACGCGCACCCTCACTCGCCACGCGCACCCTCACTCGCCACGCGCACCCTCACTCGCCACGCGCACCCTCACTCGCCACGCGCACCCTCACTCGCCACGCGCTCCCTCACTCGCCACGCGCTCCCTCACTCGCCAGGCGCTCCCTCACTCGCCACGCGCTCCCTCACT